CTTTTCAGCAGGCAGCCCTCTCCCTGGGGAGCTGGCGGGGGTGAGGGCTGGTGGGGGCACTTTAAGATAACTCAAGGAAGCCGTCTAAGTATTTTTTCAGGAGCACTGACTTTGGAGGTAGACAGACTTGAATTCTATCTAGTCTCAGCTGCCCTCCTTACCAGCTGTGTTGACTTAGGCAAGTTATTTAGCCTCTCTGAGCCTTCACTTCCTCATCTGTAAATTGTGGATGATAATTACCTTTATCTGATGAGGTTCCTGTGTGCCTTAAACACGCGGGTAAGATGCGGGCCTGGCTGGGGTCATGGCTCCGGAGTGGCCGGGATAGGGGTGGGGCATTTCAGTGCTCCTTTTCCTGGCGGGGGTCCTTCCCACCCCAAGCCCAGGGGTCCATTCCCCACCCTCCTTCCGGCCTGAGAGGCCACGTCATGCTCAGAGGTAGAAAGAAAAGCCGAGGGTTCGTTGGGGACTCTCTGTAGCCCCCAACTCCATCCAGTGAGAGTTCAAAGAAGCCCCACATTGGCCGGCAACGTTTCTCCTTTACCAGGTTTGTTTTCTTCAGTTCTGCCCTCTGGGCCGACATGATGGAGGAGGCCAGCGTGTTCTTCAACTTCCCAACCTCCCCACAATGGCCCCCGGGACCAGGCCACTGCGGGTTACAGGCTGAGGTGAGGGCAGGATGCCCACCTCTCTGTGTGTAGAACAGCTGAGGTCACAATGCCCAGGACCTGCATGCCGGCCGGAGTGTCTCCGCAACTTTGAGCCTGGGGTGCCTCGGCCGCTGAGAAGAGGACCTCCGGTCAGGTTCCAAAGCCACGAAGTCTCCCTCCTGCAAGGGGAGAGGGGCTGTCCTGGAAAGCCCACCCTGAAGGACCACAGCCTGCATGGCCCAAGCACAAGGCATGCCCCAGCAGAAGCAAAACTTGCTGTGGCTCCTTTCCCAGAGGGACCCACCCAAAGACCAGGAGGAGGTGTCCGCCCTCAACAACGAGCTTCTCCTGGAAGCCCACACACCAGCTCTCCTGACCCTTCCTCGAGCCTAAAGCTATTTTGGGTTGGGATGCCCTGAAGTCTCTCCGGTTCAAGGTGCACGTACTGTGTTAATCCGGGGCTCTCTGTGCTGGGGGAGGGGTGCCAGTCTCGGCAGGATGATCTCTGATGCCCAGGCCTGACTGCACAGCTGGCTCTGTCCCCTCTCCCCTCCTACACCCAACTCCATTCTTTTCTCCTGGTTTTTCTACTATCCTGGAAGAGCG